CGCATAAACATTCCTGCAAATGTAAACAAATCTATCCGTGTTAAATAGGCAAAATAGGAAAACTGCCAACAGGGTCAGAAATTATGAAAACACCGCGCATATTTTAGCATTACGTAACAAATGTTAGCTTGCGCATATGAACAACCCCGTTAAAATGATTAGATCATCTATATCACCTTGCTTATAATAGACGAAGGGACATTGATGGAGTATCAATACATATTTTCATTGTAGTTTACTTAATAGAGTAGATATAATTAGTATATGTTGGTTTATCATAGGGGAAATATAACGCTGGATTCGAAAATGTATGGAAAATAATCAACTCAGACCGCATGCAGCCTGCATTAATCATTGTTTCCAACATATTCTCACCCTCGTTATATATTTCACCATATATACGCGCACATACGTTGTTTATTTCTCAATTAGGTGTAGGCCTACATATCTGCTAGAAACTGCGTTGGCGAAATAACCGAATAAGCTTACAACGGATAGTAAAGACACCATGCTAGCTTGAACACAAATATGTATGACAATCTGGTATCGAATCATGAGTAGAAGCAATGTAATAGTTTCTTGTTATATATAGAAACACTTAACTAGGTATTGAAATAATCTTTTCCGGCTGTTACTTTCGTGACTTTTCTAATAGATATATTTCGTGTAAGTCGTTTAATAGTCCTCATAAATAGTTAATAGATAAAGAAAATCTGTGTCACAAAGATGTTTTATTTTGTTTACATAGTATTTACTCAACAACAGAGCATCGTTGTCTTGCCACAGTTTGTTGAGCCTCATTGTCGTGTTATAAACGGGACATAGTGGGAGATTTAATATATTTTTAAGAAATTTGAACATTTTCATAACTTAGCGTGAAGCGAAGAGTCAAAGGAAGCGAGAGGCATACTAATGAGATGTAACTATATGTTGTATAGCCGGTTTCCGCTGCTCTGAAATTTTCCACAAAATGAGAAATGAAATTGACAAGATAAAACTTTCGCGATCTGTAGATATTTATATATTTAAATATTGCGGATATGCCCTACGATATCACTTACGCATCCCGATGTTCAGTAAAAAAAAGTATACACGAATGTCATACTACTACAAGTAACTTGCTATGGTAACGTATTTACCCTGCGAATTACTGACACTACCAACCCTACGATATTAACCTGTTATACGGTAAAGGAGACACGTGACCAACATGATCACTGATTTACCTCAAAGGAGTACTTATTGTTACCTTAAAACGGTACGCAAGTAAGAGGGCCGCTACGTTTTAAATTCTCCAAATCAAGAACATGTCCCCAATGCTATGCTATCTCACAATGTATAGCAACAGTTACCTTTACAATTCAGTTTCATTTTTATCTTTTGATGTTTTGCAATTTGTTCAAATCTGCTCGTATTTAAAGAAAGATATACAAGCTTTTACGATTGAGCATATCCCTGTTCAGGCCGCGTGAAGTAGTTTCAGATGGAAAGTTTTGAAAAGAGGAGAAGAAATAGTAATGTATCATATAGTTGATATAATTATTGTGTCAGGGTAATGTATCATAGTTGATGTAATTATTGTGTCAATGTAATGTATCATATAGTTGATGTGAATATTGTGTCAATGTAATGTATCATATAATTGATGTAATTATTGTGTCAATGTAATGTATCATATAGTTGCTGTGAATATTGTGTCAATGTAATGTATCATATAATTGATGTCATTATTGTGTCAATGTAATATATCATAATTGATGTCATTATTGTGTCAATGTAATATATCATAATTGATGTCATTATTGTGTCAATGTAATGTATCATTTAATTGATTTAATTATTGTTTCAATGTAATGTATCATAATTGATGTAATTATTGTATCAATGTAATGTATCATAATTGATGTCATTATTGTGTCAATGTAATATATCATAATTGATGTCATTATTGTGTCAATGTAATGTATCATTGGTATATGTCATTATTGTGTCAATGTAATGTATCATATAATTGATGTCATTATTGTGTCAATGTAATGTATCATATAGTTGCTGTGAATATTGTGTCAATGTAATGTATCATATAATTGATGTCATTATTGTGTCAATGTAATATATCATAATTGATGTCATTATTGTGTCAATGTAATGTATCATTGGTATATGTCATTATTGTGTCAATGTAATGTATCATTGGTATATGTCATTATTGTGTCAATGTAATGTATCATAGTTGAGGTCATTATTGTGTCAATGTAATGTATCATATAGTTGCTGTGAATATTGTGTCAATGTAATGTATCATATAATTGATGTCATTATTGTGTCAATGTAATATATCATAATTGATGTCATTATTGTGTCAATGTAATATATCATAATTGATGTCATTATTGTGTCAATGTAATGTATCATTGGTATATGTCATTATTGTGTCAATGTAATGTATCATAGTTGATGTCATTATTGTGTCAGGGTTATGTATCATATAGTTGATGTTATTATTGTGTCAATGTAATGTATCATAGTTGATGTCATTATTGTGTCAGTGTAATGTATCATATAATTGATGTCATTATTGTGTCAATGTAATGTATCATAGTTGATGTCATTATTTTGTCAATGTAATGTATCATAGTTGGCGTCATTATTGTGTCAATGTAATGTATCATAATTGATGTCATTATTGTGTAAATGTAATGTATCATAATTGATGTCATTATTGTGTAAATGTAATGTATCATAATTGATGTCATTATTGTGTCAGGGTAATGTATCATAATTGATGTAATTATTGTGCCAATGTAATGTATCATAATTGATGTAACTATTGTGTCAATGTAATGTATCATATAGTTGATGTAATTATTGTGTCAATGTAATATATCATATAATTGATGTAATTATTGTGTCAATGCAATGTATCATAATTGATGTAATTATTGTATCAATGTAATGTATCATAATTGATGTCATTATTGTGTAAATGTAATGTATCATAATTGATGTCATTATTGTGTAAATGTAATGTATCATAATTGATGTCATTATTGTGTCAGGGTAATGTATCATAATTGATGTAATTATTCTGTCAATGTAATGTATCATAATTGATGTAATTATTGTGTCAATGTAATGTATCATAATTGATGTCATTATTGTGTCAATATAATGTATCATATAGTTGATATAATTATTGTGTCAATGTTATGTATCATAATTGATGTCATTATTGTGTCAATGTAATGTTTCATATAGTTGATGTAATTAGTGGGTTAATGTAATGTATCATAGTTGATGTAATTATTGTGTCAATGTAATGTATCATATAATTGATGTAATGATTGTGTCAATGTAATGTATCATAGTTGATGTCATTATTGTGTCAATGTAATGTATCATAATTGATGTAATGATTGTGTCAATGTAATGTATCATATAGTTGATGTAATTATTGTGTCAATGTAATGTATCATAGTTGATATCATAATTGTGTCAATGTAATGTATCATATAGTTGATGTAATTATTGTGTCAATGTAATGTATCATAGTTGATGTCATTATTGTGTCAATGTAATGTATCATAATTGATGTCATTATTGTGTCAATGTAATGTATCATATAATTGATTTAAGTATTGTGTCAATGTAATGTATCATATAGTTGATGTAATTAATGTGTCAATGTAATGTATCATAATTGATGTCATTATTGTGTCAATGTAATATATCATATAGTTGATGTAATTAGTGGGTTAATGTAATGTATCATAGTTGATGTAAATATTGTGTCAGTGTAATGTTTCATATAGATGATGTAATTATTGTGTCAGGGTTATGTATCATAATTGATGTCATTATTGTGTCAATGTAATATATCATATAGTTGATGTAATTAGTGGGTTAATGTAATGTTTCATAGTTGATGTAATTATTCAGTCAATGTAATGTTTCATATAGTTGATGTAATTAGTGGGTTAATGTAATGTATCATAGTTGATGTAATTATTGTGTCAATGTAATGTTTCATATTTGATGTAATTATTGTGTCAGTGTAATGTTTCATGCGCCGGACACGTATACCTGGTTCAATTTTATGTCCTATAGACGAGAAATTATTTTCACAAATTTGACACGCGCATGAACCATCCATTTCCCCACAGCACAAACTTGTTGTTTAGCCAATAGTGTTTGATAGAGACCTGTGCTGGAACTCCTGTATCGATTACAGTACATCTGTTACCGTCGGCTAACACGCGATTTCACAGTTTGTACACAAGCACAAACATTGCTGATAAAAAGGGCAAATAACGCCCAATTATATAACAGATCTGGACTAATACACTTCACTGAGACGGCTTGTACTTCATACGTGTCATATAGAGATACTGTGTGAAATACTGTAGGTAAATATCATCTACATGTTTGAGCTATCTTATCGATCCTCCTTTCTATGTAACACACGTATATGCTGATATAAGTTACACCGGGATCATGTATCACATTTTATTTTCGTGTATTCCTATTTTAGTCGAAAAATGTACTTTCCTGTTTCAACAACTTTGTATCTTAGTAAATCTGTATTTATGTAGATATTTTGTATCATTATTTAGAGTTCAACGAAACAGATATATTACAGTTTCCTCAGAGTGCGCAGCACGAGTGTAAACATATCAAATTAATAGCTAAAGGTGAAATATATTTGGCACTATATGAAGACACTTTCAGATAATCTGTTTATAACAATTTTTAATAAAGACCTTTTCCGGAACGCGAAATAACACATCAAGCTGAGAATACTTTAACCGCTAGCATGTCTAGACAATCCTACAATGTAGGCGATAAAAGTCCTACACGAAAAAAACTTATTTTAATAAAGTAGGCTCTTTAGTTCATATTTTTGTTAGATTATTATCAAAGTTTAATTATCTAATAAAAGTCCCGTCATACAATTATGTCAAGCGCCTAATCTAACATGGTGGGGAGTGTTGTGTCCCTACCTATCCTGCTGTTGTATTCCCTCTCCGAGCTTCTCTACGTCTTTTCGTGTCTACTGTTAGTGGTGTGCCATTTTAGTTAACATTTTATCTTGTACGTATAGTGAGATCTGTACACGCCGAATGACAAATGCTTTCCTTAAGGGATAACCAGGATTAATTGTTTGGTATATACCGTAAACCACAAAAATAATCATGATTAGCCCCTATAATTTAATGTAAAAAGACAGATAACAATTTATCAGTTCATAGGTAATGAATATTTATTTATTCCTGACAAAAACAAAGTAATTATGCACAAAACTCAACATTGCGCAGTAATGTTATCGCCAAGCAACATCAGCCAATCAGAATTACAAAGATCGCGCCTAACATTTTGGTATACGACGTCATCATTTCTTGTGTTGTCTGTGTTTTGGCTATACAATATAACCTAAAAAAAGTGCAGCATTGGAGGAATAATCATGGTTTCTGATACTTACAGTTAAACTGCGTTTCCTACTGGCTTCCTTATAAAGAAGAGTTTGGATAGGTACGAGTCAAAGTAATAGCATCAATACTCCAGGGGTGACGCACACTTACCTTCTCTGCAGTACTGGACTATGTCATATCAAAATTGACTAGTTTGATCTATTGATATACATCAAAGAATCGTGTGACAGCACAACGGTAAAAATGACTAGCTAAATGTATGAAATCGGATGTCGCTTCTTTGTAATGTTAAAAGACTAGATATAGCGTAGCGATTGGTCAGGTTTTTTTTCACCTGAAACCAATGAAGTTGCTATCTTTGTGCCATCATTTATATATATATATTACATAGTCCAGCGGTGCAGAGAACGTTAATGGGCGTCAATTCTGGACGTTCAAGGAATTCTGTACTAGTAAACATATAAATGTTTAAGGTAAAATGACGGAAGAGAGATGCACTATATTGTTTTAAAATCAAGGCAGGAAAAAATGTAATTCACAATTTTATATCAATTTTTTTTTCAATGAATTTCATTTTTAATGATATTTGTAATCGACTTTGCACCTGCTTGCCTTATATATCATATGCATATATAAGTCATCTTCCAAATATACCACCTTCAATTCATCCGAATGACATCGGCAATGCGATCTCCTATCTGACATACACTGCCAATTCTACTTAGCACCAATCCTTCTTCAAGAAAAGTTTCTTATGTCCAGAATATAGAATTCTTTGAAACATCCACTCCACTCGCGGCCAAATCATATATGACACAAAAATGTGAACTTGAACTAGTTAGAGGATGCTTGCCCCTTAAATACGTTACGAAAGCACTTTTTTCATAATGCTTTTTAAAAAGATGGGATTTATGGACTTTAAAGCTTAGTTACACTTATATAAATACCTGATGATTTTTTCCTCTCACTTGTATATCATATGTTTAGTATGTGTCTGTAATTGTTAACATACTTGCGTTAACACCACAATGTAATAGCGTTTTGTACAAGTTCATACGGACGTAGGGTGTGATTTCAACAATAAGTCATCACTGAGACATTAATGGGAACGTTAACTTATATATATATATTTACAAATGCGCTGCAACCCACTATATGAACATTACCAGCAGAAATGCATTTCATTTGAGTATGGAAGCAAAACACTATCGTGATGTATCACGTGGATTATTTATGACGTCATGGATTAAACTTGGTCAATGAGAGTCTTGTCGCTTCGCTTCGGTTAACATGTAAAATGCCCCTACATCAAACACTCAAATGACTACGGTTATTTTTTATTGGCGCCAATTTGATTAAAATAGGGCTGTTCCGCCAATGTCGTTAAAGGACGACGCATAAACAAATCGCAGTAAATGAATATTATTATCTAAGATCAAATAAATAAACTCAAACATTTGTTCTATAGTAAAAATGTAAATATATGGATTGAACGGCGTTTTTTTTAATTTTCATGCTGGTATAAGCGCACATATTAAACATGCAATATTGACGTAACCGATTTGCGTTCATACCGGCATGGCATTAAAAAAAATCGCCGATCAATCCCTAAATACTACTGTATTATTTTTGATGTAGATTATTGTAGACCACATCGTTTTTATTATTTTGTACGTTGGTCACTGTGAAAATCACTTAATCTTCGCGAGCTAATTTAATCATTCGTGTTGATTCGCGTGGAGAATTATTGCATATCAAAAATGAAAAATAGAAAGTAGTTATAGTTCTTTTCACGGGTTCAAATTCGCACGAAGAGGGACCGTCGCGTTAGTATATATATATGCAGACACTACAGAATAGTACAGAAGATTGATGATGTATGGTTAACCTAACTACGCATGCACGGGTTTATAGTGAACGTATAAGTGATGACGCATGTACTTTTATCTTTTTTTTTAAAATAATATATTAAAAATATTTTTTTTACCTTTTATGGATTTTTTCTACTCATGAATGCATATATCGTCAATGCTTGTATTAAATTAAAGACTCATGCCTTTTTATTCTGATTTATATTCATAGTCATGCATGCTCAATACGATCCTACTCTCTTGTGATGTAATAGCTGTCTGTGGTCGAAGTGGTCTGCATCAATTGGGACAGAGGATTGGACACACTACTAAACCATATCCAGAGGTCTATCTGATTGGGACAGAGGATTGGACACACTACTAACCCCTATCCAGGAGTCTGACTGATTGGGACAGAGGATTGGGCACACTACTAAGCCTATCCAGGAGTCTAACTGATTGGGATAGAAGATTGGACACACTACTAAGCCTATCCAGGAGTCTGACTGATTGGGACAGAGGATCGGACACACTACTAAACCCTATCCAGGAGTCTGACTGATTGGGACAGAGGATTGGACACACTACTAAGCCTATCCAGGAGTCTAACTGATTGGGACAGAGAATTGGACACACTACTAAACCCTATCCAGAAGTCTATCTGATTGGCACAGAGGATTGGACACACTACTAAACCCTATCCAGAAGTCTATCTGATTGGGACAGAGGATTGGACACACTAATAAACCCTATCCAGGAGTCTATCTGATTGGGACAGAGGATCGGACATACTTCTAAACCCTATCCAGTAGTCTATCTGATTGGGACAGAGGATTGGACACACTACTAAACCCTATCCATAAGTCTATCTGATTGGGACAGAGTATTGGACACACTACTAAACCCTATCCAGTAGTCTATCTGATTGGGACAGAGGATCGGACACACTACAAAACCCTATCCAGAAGTCTATCTGATTGGGACAGAGGATTGGACACACTACTAAACCCTATCCAGTAGTCTATCTGATTGGGACAGAGGATCGGACACACTACTGAATCCTATCCAGGAGTCTGTCTGTTGGGGGCAGAGGATCGGACACACTACTGAACCCTATCCAGGAGTCTGTCTGTTGGGGGCAGAGGATCGGACACACTACTGAACCCTATCCAGGAGTCTAACTGATTGGGACAGAGGATCGGACACACTACTGAATCCTATCCAGGAGTCTGTCTGATTGGGGCAGAGGATCGGACACACTACTAAACCCTATCGAGGAGTCTGTCTGATTGGGACAGAGGTTGGACACACTACTGAACCCTATCCAGAAGTCTATCTGATTGGGACAGAGGATTGGACACACTACTAAAGCCTATCCAGGAGTCTGTCTGTTTGGGGCAGAGGATCGGACACACTACTGAACCCTATCCAGGAGTCTGACTGATTGGGACAGAGGTTGGACACACTACTAAGCCTTTCCAGAAGTCTTTCTGATTGGGACAGAGGATCAGACACACTACTAAGCCTATCCAGGAGTCTGTCTGATTGGGACAGAGGATCAGACACACTACTAAGCCTATCCAGGAGTCTGTCTGATTGGGACAGAGGATCAGACACACTAATGAACCCTATCCAGGAGTCTGACTGATTCGGACAGAGGATCGGACACACTACTAAGCCTTTTCAGCAGTCTATCTTATTTGGACAGAGGATCGGACACACTGCTGAACCCTATCCAGGAGTCTGCCTGATTGGGACAGAGGCTCGGACACACTACTAAACCCTATGCAGGGGTCTGTCTGATTGGGACAGAGAATCGGACACACTACTGAACCCTATCCATAAGTCTATCTGATTGGGACAGAGTACCGGACACACTACTAAACCCTAGCCAGGAGTCTAACTGATTGGGACAGAGGGTCGGGCACACTACTAACGCCTATCCAAAAGTCTATCTGATTTGGACAGAGGATCGGACACACTGCTGAACCCTATCCAGGAGTCTAACTGATTGGGACAGAAGCTTGGACACACTACTAAGCCTATCCATGAGTCTACTAAGCCTATCCAGGAGTCTGTCTGTTTGGGGCAGAGGATCAGACACACTACTGAACCCTATCTAGGAGTCTGTCTGATTGGGACAGCGGTTGGACACACTACTGAACCATATCCAGAAGTCTATCTGATTGGTACAGAGTACCGGACACACTACTAAACCCTATGCAGGAGTCTGACTGATTGGGACAGAGGATCGGGCACACTACTAAACCCTATCCAGAAGTCTATCTGATTGGGACTGAGGATCGGACACACTACTAATCCCTATCCAGGAGTCTGTCTGGTTGGGACAGAGGATCGGACACAATACTCAACCATATCCAGGAGTCTGTCTGATTAGGACAGAAGATTGGACACACTACTAAACCATATCCAGGAGTCTGTCTGATTGGGACAGCGGTTGGACACACTACTGAACCATATCCAGAAGTCTATCTGATTGGTACAGAGTACCGGACACACTACTAAACCCTATGCAGGAGTCTGACTGATTGGGACAGAGGATTGTACACACTACTAAACCCTATCCAGGGGTCTGTCTGATTGGGACAGAGAATCGGACACACTACTAAGCCTATCCATCAGTCTAACTGATTGGGACAGAAGCTTGGACACACTACTAAGCCTATCCAAAAGTCTATCTGATTTGGACAGAGGATCGGACACACTGCTGAACCCTATCCAGGAGTCTAACCGATTGGGACAGAAGATTGAACACACTACT